TTTTTTTTTTTCTTTTCGGGACATAATACTACTGCGACCAGCAATTTTATCTATTATTACATCCCGTGTCGTTAGTTTAGTGCATTTCGTATTACTCTATCACTATTGAAAAATGATTCGGTTTTGATACAGTTGTCATTCTTGCCTTCATCGCAAGGAATCGAGAAGCACCCTCCAAAAGCGTGCCCCTTTGTCAGTCAAATTTGGATTCTTTAGCATCAAAACTAAGCAATGACACCGATAATGACCATGCATCAGAATCTTAGTCTTAATCACTTCAACCTACACACCAAAAAGTTCTGAATTTTACTGGCGATGTAAACATCCATGCATGCAAACATTCATGCATGTAAACTTCCTTTTCACGTAAACTAGCAACTTGCAAGAAATGTTGCAAACAAAAGTGGACAGTTGCATACAATATATGGGATATTACATGACATGTCTCATAAATTTACACGATCTATAATCTAAACTTGTATGATATATGACGCTCCATTTATGTGCATCATAGTAACGGAAATTTACACTACTTTTTTTTAGCTGTGTAGAGAACGAATAGAAGATTAGGAATCACATAGGTGAAGAATAAGTAACTCATTTTCCCTTGTTTCAAGATCATCCTCGGTCCAAGCAACCCAAGTAACAAGGACTAAGATGTTTTCCTGTGATTACTGAAAAATCCTGTTCCCCTAGTTTAAAGTAGCCAAGACTAGGAATCGGTCACAGAACAGAAGGGGAAGTACAAACAAATCGATGAATCAAAAGTGGTTCGTTTTGCTGCTCAACAAGCAATGTGTTGTGGTAGCGTTCCACACGGGCTTTCTATGTGCCCTCACACTATCATAGCATGCTGCATATCTTAACTGCAGGCAGAAGATGCCTTCTACCGCTAGGTGCGCCAGTGTTCGGAAATGACAAGTGGAGCCACTTTCTGATCCGAAGTTCCACTCGTGCGAATCGGTGGTAGATCTTACATCCCGTAACGTACCACGAAAATGTGATCTACCCACGTTACGGGGCAAGAGACAATACTTAGTATCTATCTTGTTGAAAAATATAAGGAATATGTAAGGAGAACTGCAACTGAATTCTTAAGAGACATTCAAAATTGTGAGCTGAATTTCAAACAGAATAATTCCAAAGAATGTCTTACTGAAGTGAATTTCAAAGTAATTAAAAAAATCCAATTGAATTTAATTCCGAGAACCGTTTATATGGAATTGTACAAGACATTTCTCGATTACTTTTTCGAAGGGGCATATCAGCTTGTGTAAACAATGCATTTGATCGTCGATTTGGCATAACTGACAGCTTGCTCACGCATACTAATACCACTATCAGGTAGGGGATAATTTCGAGGGCGAGCTACCAGTTGTGCCAAATCGACGATTAAGTATTAAGATTAAGAATTCCTAGAATAATTCCAAGAGAATTTCAAGACAGAGGTGAAAACAAAGCAAATATTCAGAAGAAATCGCTGGGTATTCGGCACGAATTCTTAATAATTTAAAGAGCATTACAGAGTGAATTCAAATAGCAGTGATGACATAATATTTTGTTTTGCTCTCATACGCTCTCAATATGACGCGTGATATTGGAACAAAACATTATGCTTGACATTGATTTAACAAGCTCCTTTTGATACTGCGAGACTACTCATCACATGTGAAATTGCAGAGTTGACTTGACCCTAAATTGATTCCGTTGCACATCGTATTATTTTTTTTTTTCGGAAAGAGTTTGTTTTTTCTCTTTACTCTTAACCGAAGGAATCAAAAATATCTCCAAATTACAAAATGACAAGCGGTCTTCCGTATAAATGGTATAATCGTCTTCCTAAATTGTCGACCAAAGTGTTCGCAAGCTGCTTCATGAAGTAAAGCCGAAGATGATACACGTGTGTTAACGGGAATATTTTTGTTAATCCTTCTACAACTCCGATCAAGCTATATTACATAAAGAGTTTATCGTGGTAGTTGTAGCAAGCGTTTTGTCTTCATCTTTGGTTGCTTTATGTGTTTGGATACGCTGCTCTGCACCCATACTAGACACGAAGCTACTGCTGCAGTGATGGAAGTTTCGGGTCACGCTCGGGTGTAAAACTGGGTTTAGACAGGACAAGTCAATTGATCAAGTCAGTTGAATTCAACTGACTTGAACGTGAATTGAACGTGTAAACCATGCCATTCAACTGACTTGATCAACTCACTTGAATTGAAAAAAGTTGAACCAGGCTCATCTTTTCAAACCAATTGAATTCAACTGAGTTGATCATTTGACTTGCCTAGTCTAAGCCCAGCTTAAAGCAAAAATGTTGAAACTCAAACTAACCACAGTTTAGAGAGAATTGAAGATGGTGAGTTTTTTTTTAGCTTGATATTAGGGAGCTACGATATCACAGCCTGGAATATCATACGCAGTTGTTTGCTTATTGATTTTTGTCTTCGAAATTCAAGCATGATCATCGGATAGTTGAGATTTGATTTTTTTTTTTTAATTTTCTTAACACTGTCAAAGAGAGAGCAAATTATAAGGGAATACCAGAAAGAGATCTCAGATGAATGCTGAGGATAATTTGAGACGATTCTAAGAGGATTCTTCAGAAGCTACTGAAGAAATCTTGTAAATAATTTTAAGATGATTCCAACATAGCTTGTTTTTAAGCTCCTGGTCACGAACAAAAAACTAGCGTGTACCCTTGTGGGGTCCTTAGAAACCGTTTGTCATACCCGGCTAATTGCAACCAACTGACTAATTTCCTATATCTACCCGATCACCCCATAATCATGAATCCATTAGGGATCGATGACGCCCTCCCAACCGATCGATGATTTGCGTTTTCTTAAGTGTTGGTGTTTGTCGCAGAGAGTAGAGAGTTTGCCTACCAATGCAATGGTTGTATCCTTGGGTGGGTGGTGTTCAAGCTGCTCCCAATTTTAGTAAATTTTTATACTAAAATTATTTTAATTCTTTGGAGTTCGAAAATTTTAACACATCTAGTTTTTTGAGACCTTAGATTTAGGATTGTTTTGATTCTAAAGCAGTTCTCTTAAAACTGATTGTCATGTCTAAGAAACCAATGTGGAAATGAAGTTGTTGTTCTAAACACAGTTTTCTTATAAATCTGCGAATTGTCCGTTAAAGTTCTGAAAGAAACCTGGAAAATTCTGGGAATTTTAGTTCAGCAAGATAAGTGGGCATCTTAAAATTTGAAAATATGATAAACTCCAAGACTGTTAAAAATATGAAAGATCTCTAAATTCAGCGGTCTTGCTTTGTAGCTGCACATTTACCGACTGAGCTAAAGGAACCCGAAACATTCCCCAAAATCTTGACATTTTGAATTAATACATTGTGAACTGAAAAGCTAAAAAGTACTCTACATGGAATCACCTTAAAATGCGACAACATAAACCTCATGGCCCCATTTCCCACGCATCTCGTTAACCCCACAAATCGCCCACAATCAACGCATCTACTTATCGCCACTTGTTTCCTGGTGCAACCTTGCTGTCGGTTCATTAGATCCACCGCCGCCACCACGCAAACAGCGTCCTAAATCTGTCACTTTGCTACGCACAGACCATTTCTTCCTACTTTCTGCAAATCCTGACATAGTTTTCCCGTGTGCCAGAGTGCGCTAACGCCACCAACCGCCAGCAGAGTATCTTTGAACGGTAATTGTCAACACACGAAATTCTTCCACCGTGGCCGCCAAAAACCACCCAATCGAATTTCACAACACTCCCACACACGGTTCGTGTCCGGCTCGAAGGTTCTTGATCATCTGCACTCACGCACGAAATCCGATGATTTTCCCCACCCTGCGTGCTCAACTGTTCGTCCATTCGAGAGGGTGTGCGTTTTTCTTCGGCCCGGCGATACTGGCGATACCTAGCGGTAAAAATGTTCACTACCGTTTCGCGCGCATCCACCCGTTTCTTCATAGGCTGCTTCGATCTTGTGCGGTCTCGTCCTTTGCATTCAAAGTGTTATGTAAATGTCAACGGTTTTCAAGGTAGTCCAATAGGATTTATTTGGCACTGACACTTTTGATCTTTCGCGCTTCAATTACTACACAATTGCACACACACACACAAACACACGCACACACCGTTTTGGATATTGTTCAGACGACGAGTTCAACAGGTTCCATTCCAAATGCTTCCACAGCACTCTGCGATCGCCGACTGACGGGATTGCTGCGATCCGGCGAAGAGAGCAAAATTCTGCGAGCGGGAAAAATCTTCTGTTCCTTTATTTTTAGACTTTTTTGAAAATTTCTATTTATATCGTTTTAATAGTATTACATTCAGTCTCGAGTTTCTTCAATGTTTACACTGTGTCTCAGCCGCACCAGTCAGGATTTGAATAGATCGTATGATAGTCTGCTGGGGTGTTATATAATCATATCTTTTCCCATCCGATTCACTGCTGAATAAATTCCCGACAGCGATTCTACACCAGCGAAAAAAAAATCGAAAAACTAAAGTCCTTGCAAGTGTTTTTCCTAAAATCTCATTTCACCTGTCACTGGCCGATCTGTTGTTCCACCTACACACGGCACGCACCTTAAGTAGAGCAAGGTGACGAAAGCACCTCGCGGATTCAAAGTGGCATTGAAGTGGATATTTTTCACTCATTCGTCATCGCACTCCCTCCCCTCCACAAACGCACAATTTTCCAACTCTGCACTCTTGAAAATTTTCTTCTCGAACAATCGCCGTTGCCCCCGTCTAAAATGCTCCGATGATTCACGGCTGAAAATTTTCACTTATTGCGAAATACTGCTTTTCTGCTATAAATGGCCACACATGTTGGGTAACTGCGTGCACGAAAATTTCACCAAAACCCTCAAAACGCAACGAAATCCTCGCAGATTCCACCGAAATCCAGCCGGCACAAGTCAATCCTCCAGGAATCCTTCCAAATCACCGATTTCCAGCCACGTCCCAGCCACGATCCAAGTCCATAAAAGGAATAAACTCCACTCTTACTTTCACTTCACACCCACAGGGTAAAATTTCACACAACTGCTTTTTTCACTGCTGGCTGAGGCAGAGGAGATTTTCCACCGATTTTCCACCGATTTCTGCTGACTTTACACGCATCCGATGAGCTAAACTCGCCGACTGAGCCGTGCTCGGTCGTGGCAGTGCGGTATAATTCAGAATTGCGCGCGCCCTCTCGGTGGCGACCGTTCGGGTTGCTGCTGATCGGATCGGCCGGTGTGGCGATGGGTGGCGATAGCCGAACCCGAACCCGATGGCCAAAAATAACCCTACGAGATCTAGATTAAGTAACGAGCGCGGTAAAAATAGGCTCCATCACTTTGGCGCTGCTCGATCGATGGGTTGGGCTGATCGGTCGATCTCCGGTATAGGCAGTTTGTTGCGTTTAATCCCTTAGTATTGCATTCTGGTGTTGTCGGGGTGTAATTACAGAGCTGTCATTTTCGATTGAGGAACGTAAATTCTAAATATTTTCAACGCAATTGGAGATCCGTCGAAACGAGCAAGATTCTTTTAGATGGTCTCCTGGAAACTCACGACTAGTGGCAAAGTTGCAGATCGAGACAACTATATCTAGCTCGATTTACTCTAACTCCACTTTGCTTTGTAACTCGAATTAAATCATCGATCATTTGTCCCATACAAATGTTTTAAGTTTACCTATGTGACTCGATATTCTCTCTAACAAGATGGTCCCTTAGATGTTGAATAATGAAGGCTTAACAGCAGAATGTAGCTGCCTTTTTTTATTAAGCTCAAAATCTTCCACGTGAGAGCCGAGATATATCCAAAATTTTATTTTTTTCAAAGCTGGTTTTCTCGATAAGGTTCTTTTGCCGTAGGGCTACGTCTTTAATTTCTTTACTGGGGTACACTTTGTGACAACCGAAAATGGAACATGAAACAAAATTATGAAAGATTTTGAACATTAATAACTCAGCTGCCCCTGGATCAATTTCAATAATTTAATCACCAATCGATCAGAAATATGCCTACGCAGTGCTTCCAACTGATGATTTCCAACAAGAAAATATTGAAAAAGTGGTAATGTCAAGCATTATCCAAAAGTACAAATAAAAAGTGATAATTGTTTCACTGTTTTCATGAAATAAACGTTGTTCCCAAACGCAGTCGTCATAATCGAGTACCACTTGGTTGCACATCATTCTGCTTTAACCTGAAAAGATATAAAACAATGCTGCTGTCTTGCCTCATCTCATTTTCTATTCGAACGCCGTGGTGAGCAGACAGAAGTAGCAAAAGCAGTCGTCTGGCTAACCGTGGCGGTGTCAAACGTGTCTCCGGTCTGATCTACGTGAAAACGCGAGGTGTACTGAAGGTGTTCTTGGAAAATGTGATCCGTGATGCTGTCACCTATACTGAACACGCCAAGTGTAAGCGGCCATCGATGTCGTCTACGCTTTGAAGCGACAGACGAACTCTATATAGTTTCGGAGGTTAAATCATCACCAACTTTGGCAACAAAACGGCCCTTTTCTGGGCTAACAAGCTTATTACAGTAAAAAGTTAGAATAGAATTTATCTGCCTGTTGGTCTATATTCAGCAGGGGTGCAAGTGATTTTGATCGATTCTCTTCATCAACTTTCTCTTTGAAAAAAAAAATACTACAAATTTGGTATGCCTACAAACCAAAAACGGAAAGAGTTAAGATAATAGATGATCGATCAATTAAAAGAACTAAATTTTCTTCACATTTTTTTTTTTTCAGTGCCCTAGCGGTCCTACGTCAAGTTCCCGTTCGTGCCCCTAGACACAGACCTTTCTACTTTTTCAGCAGAAAACTGACGGCATTGTTGTAAAAGCTTCTATTTGATCAAATGCATTTAGTCGAAAGAGGAAAACTTCAAGGATTAATCACGCTTAGCCTTAGCTCGCCCACGCAAACTAATACAATTATCAGAATATGTGTTTACAAAAGCAGATACGGCTATTACAGGATTCATCCATGACATATTTATAGAAATTGATGTATTGTGTCACCAGACCCAGCGGAGGGTGTCCAGCCGAAGGTCATTAGACCGAATGGCCATGAGACCGAATGATTTCCGGCTCCAAGCCTTAAATAAATGTTGACAAGCTTCCTTACACTGTTAAATTTTTAAGATTTTCATCTTCAGGATATTGTTTTCAGAGTATTCGAACTTTGAAAACTTTTTGATATAATCAGTGTGCGATTTCTGAATTTCCCCAGAATAAATTTCATACAGCCACTGAAATTTGAAAGATTCAAAAATGAGCAGTCCTTTCGAGTTTTAGTGGTTTTGTGATTTTTGGCATCACGAATAAAACATGCCATCGCATTCATTTTCCTTCTTTCAAAAGCACAGGTGAAACGGGAACCATATTTGTACGATGGTGCAAACATTATCACGCATACGGTAGTTGCTTCAAAAGAGTTTCCACAAATGGAAGCACTAAATTAATAATGTTCCTAGTTGAGTCAGAGACGTTGAATATATTAAAGATGCTCTCATCAATTCCAGAAAACGTGAACATGGCATCATGTTCCTGCTGATTATTCAGCTGTTTTTCTGGCTGAAAAACTGGGATCTCTGGGCTTTTAGATGATCACGGAAGTGGCGAAAAGTCCTTGTTAAAATTAAAAGATTTAAATCCCGGTGGTGGGGGTATCGGTACATTTCCGCTACCTCTTAAATTTGTCAAGGTAGGTTGAGAGTCCATACGAGAGGTCTTACGGGCATTTTGAGTGACGTTTTTTTTAATCGCTTTCTCGTGTTGCCTTTAAAGACAAAGGGACTATCTTCACCAACCTCTAAGTCAGAGCCCTGATCATCATCTGACAAAATGGAGTACATATGTGTTTTTGGTTTTTGGGGTGGTTTGGGAAGATGAAGCGGTGTTTTTGAAGAGTTCTGCAAGTGATCTCTTGGAGCGAGCTTGCAAAGACCGCTTTAGTTTTTCTACCTGCTGTTTGTACTTCGGGCAATTAACTTGCAGTAAACACATTTTGGGGTAGCCCGGCAAGGACCATCTGCATGCAGCTCGCCACATTGATCGCAGCTCGGTTTGTTGGAGCAGAAGTCAGCGGTGTGACCAAGTTGCTTGCATTTTGAGCAGTTCATTGCCCGCGGTACAAACAAGCGTAAAGGCAGTCGAACCTTCCTAACTACGGCGTAGACAGGTAGCGGCGATCCAGAGAATACGTTTTTTTTTTCGGGCCAATGAGACACTGATTGCATTTGGATGCAATCCAGAATCTTCACTTTCGGAAGGGCACGGTTTTTAAAAATACCGAAGGATTGGGCATGAAGAAAATCTTCGCAAGTTAGACTCACTTCGGTGACCACTCCTTCGATTTCTGCGTCGCAACTGGGGATGTAGACTCGATATTCCATCGTAAAAATACAACGGTGGACGTATGATCTACGGATGTATTTGGCTAATGACATTTGAGTTTCGAATCCGTTTCCCACCCTAGTCTTTTTTGCGCAAACGTTCTCTGATACACAACAATCCAGATAAATCCGTAGACCATAGGTCCACCGTTGTATAATTGGCAATGCACCCGTGTACTGAATGGGAATTGTGGGTTCAAATCCCACCGGTGCCCTTAGATTTTTTCGCAAATTTTCTCACACACACGTCTCTTACCGATGATATGTGCTACCTCTCAGTATGTCCAAACTTTTTCATAAAGATAACCGTTTGTTACTTAACTCTCCACACAAGCGCACGGAGTGTGGCTGATGATGATGATCTATCCTGATGTGAGGATGATTGTGATGATCGTTCTATTGTTGCCCTCGAGTGTTTGCAACAAAGCACCGGCTGGCTCGCCGTCGGGTGAACTCGATGACCTTGATTTTGCAGTGGCGTGATGCGATGAAATTTCTTGATTAAAGATGAACAGCTCATCTGCCGGACTCGGCCGGAAATGACTGCTTCCTATCTCGAACGATTAAGCGGCCATTTCAATTCCGCGATGCTCACTACACTGTTGTATACTGCAACACCACTCAGTATTAAAGCGGATTGAAGAAAAAAAAAACTCAATAGGGGAAAAAACTAGTACTGAATCAGTACTACTGATAACGGAGTGCAAGCAATACTAGACCGAAACAGTTGAACGTTCGATGCGGAATGAACAACCGTGTTATCGCACCTGATTTCGCCGGCAAGAACTACAGTTTGCTAGAAAACGCTGACTGAACAGCTCATAACCCTTAACGATGGATCACACACTTGAATCACAGACAAACAGATGTAACACTTCATTGTGTATCATTTAGTTCCGCGATTGACATTTTATTGACATTTTATGCAATATTGTTTACGAGTTAGCGTTAGTAGCGAGTTAGTTTTGAGATACTATGTTTTCAATAAAAACATTTTCAAAGAGTTACGTCTGTTTGTCTGTACTTGAATTGACCCAGCAACCGGTTTATCGTCAGCCATAGACCTCTTGGTCTATTCCGAGATCCTAGCTACCAAATTTATTTGGCAAACTCTCTCGGACACACACAGCAGCGATCACTTTCCGATTACCGTTTCCTCACCTGAATACTCACAGGTCATAACGAAGCGAAGAAGATGGTTCTATGATCAAGCGAACTGGACATCCTTTGAACGGCTGATTGCTAGCAGCATCAAACCGGTTGATGAAATTGGAGCGGAAGAGTTCGTCGACCGGAGTCGGTCCTAAATCGGTACCATGGTGGTGCCTACAGGTGGAAATAGCAGTTAAATAGCGTCGAAAATGGCTGAGAGCACTGAAAAATATCGTCGGAAAAATATCTCCAAGCAGCAGCACTACGACAGAAATGTGGCAGACGGTCAGCACTCTGAGAGGCAAGCGGCAGCACAGCAGGGCTGTCATCTAACGATCCGACGGATACACGGTAAATGCTGAAGAAGTTGCAGAAGAATTGGCTACGCACTACTGTGACTGCTTCTGTAGGCACTCGATAAAGGCCATAGTGTTTCTACAGGCCCCGACTCCATGGGGTATCCACCGACTTCCTCTATCCGTCAAGTCGGCGCTACTAGAGCTGCTCAACAGAGTATGGCATAGTGGTGTTTTCCCGACCCTGACTGGAATAATACTGCCAATCCGGAAACCGAGTTCTACAGAGTCTGACCCTGCCGCTTTCC